GCAGCATGTTTTTCGCGCTGGCGCCTCTCCTGCTGTTGTTGTGGCAGTGGAACACAGTGAGAGTGAACTGAGGCCTGGAGAGCAGCGCCTACACGGGTAGCGCTCTGCTGTGATGTTTACTTTCTTTACATTGTTTTGTTTACAAAATGTATGTGTAAACATGACGCTAGACATTAAATGGGGTGTTTACAAAGCATCATTAGTAACATTTACAACATAACTCTTCTTATTACTTTCATTTCAGCAGTAAATTATCCCATAAACACCAAACAAACAAACTTTTGCACTATTGCAGCGACGCCCACAACCTTAAAATACAAGATTCTTCAAGGGTTCTTTAGTAAAAGCAATGGTTCTAATGTAGAACCATAACTTCTACATAGAACCATTTCATGCTTAAATGGTTCTTTGCATGGTGAAATCGTTCTAATAAACCAAAAATGGTTCTTCTATCACAGGTTTGACACCGTAATGATAAAAGAACCCTTTTTGGTGCTGCATAGAACCTTTTAAAAAAAAAAGTTCTATATAATAGTTCTATAAAGAACCACGTACAACACATTATATATATAACCGTTTAGGCATGCAAATGATTCTATAAGGAACTCATGGTTCTAAACAGAACCATCTCATGCTTCTTCAGTGGTTCTTTGCATGGGAAAACGGTTCTTTTGAAAACGGTTCTACATAGCACATCACCAGAAAGGGCTCTTCTGTTACAAGCTTGGCATTGTAATGATAGAAGAACCCTTCTTGGTGCTACACAGAACCATTTTCAAAAAAGGTTCCATACAGAACCATATACAACACATTCTCTATCGTTCTGAAGAACCATTTCACCATGCAAAGAACCATTTAAGCACGCGAATGACTCTATATAGAACTCACGGTTCTTTCGCATGGCGAAATGGTTCTACATAGCACTTCACAAAAAAGGGTTCTTCTGTTGTGAGCTTGACGTGGTAACAATAGAAGAAACTTTTTATTGCTATATAGAACCATTAAAAAAAAAAGGTTCTATATAGAACCATATACAACACATTCTCACATATCAATCTGAAGGACCGTGCCGCCATGCATAGAACCATTCAAGCATGCAATTGGTTCTATTTAGAACTCATTTCCTTCACTAAACCCTTAAAGAGTCTCTGACGTATTAATTTAGGCTTGTTTACTGTTTAATATGAGATTTATAGAATTGTGTATTTATGAAGGTAATTAATTCTGTAATTCGGGCCAGTTGGGTCCGGTGTGGCCTTCGGGCCACATTATGCAGACTGGTGGTCACCTGGGGGGCTTCAGCTGAATCTGAGGATAAAGCCCACTCACATTAACCCATTGTGCTTCCCACAGTGATAAACGATGCCTTTCACAGGTTAATGACCGCACTGGACGCCCATTGTTCACGGATAATGGGCCACATTGAGGAAGAGGAGACAGCAGGAGGCGGAACCTTCTGGAAAGAGCTCAGATTCACTCAGCAGGCTTATTCACAGACTGCAGCTCCCTCTGACGCCGACGTTCCACACGCAGAACCTCTGGAGAAACGTCAGCTCAGCAACTGAAGGCTCATTCACTGAGTCTCTGATTTTTACTGTAGATTTTATCTTTAGGCCAAAATTTAAAAAACTGCTACATCTAAACTCTCAAAAAAGACGGTTCTTCAAGGGTTCTTTAGTACCGATAATGGTACTATTTGGAGCCATGAGTTCCATATAGAACAATGTCATGCTTAAATGGTTCTTTGTGTGGTGAAATAGCACCAAAAAGGGTTCTTCTACACTCTTATAAAAGATGCTTCAAGGGCTCTTTAGTTAAGAAATTGGTTCTATATAGAACTGTTTACACTCAAAGAACGCTTTGCATCATGAAAAGGTTTTTTAGATGGATGGAAAATGTGCTGTAGATGGTTCTACATAGAACCTTTTTTTTAAAAATGGTTCTATATAGCACCTAAAAGGGTTCTTTTATTGTTATGGTGTCAAGCTTGTAGCAACATGAGAATGATGAAGATGTTAAAAGCAGGCGTGTTTGTTTACCCTCTGCAGAATTCTAGACTGTGATTGGGTCGTCGCTTCCAAACCAAACTTTCTGAAAAAACCAGTGAAGCTCAGAATGTTTAACTAGTTTTAGAGATGTTATAAATGAAGAGACGATCTGTGGTTAAAATATAAATAGTAGAGCTCATAACACTCAACATGGTGTCTGTTTGCAGAAAAAGCCCCGCCCCTCAATAAAAAGAACCAATCAGCTTGCTGGTCACGCCGCTCTAAAGAAACCAGTAGATTATCTACAAACCACTTTGCAGATTTACAATTTCAATAAAAACCCCACACAGATCATATGAAAAAACTTCATATGAAGAATCAGTACAGAACATCTAAGAACCAATAAGATCTTGTAAAAACTAATATAGATGATTTAGAAACCAGTATAGATCATCTAAAAACCAATATAGATGATCTGGAAACCAGTATAGATCATCTAAAAACCAATATAGATGATCTGGAAACCAGTATAGATCATCTAAAAAACGATATAGACGATCTAGAAACCAGTATAGATCATCTAAAAACCAATATAGACGATCTAGAAACCAGTACAGATCATCTAAAAAACAATATAGATCATACAGAAGTATAGATCCTCTCAAAATAAGTACAAATAATAAAAAAACCCTGGTATAATCTAAAGGCTAATCTAAAATAGTAGAGCTCATAACACTCAACATGGTGTCAGTTTGCAGAAAAAGCCCCGCCCCTCAATAAAAAGAATCAATCAGCTTACTGGTCACGAAAAGTTAAAATAGTTTCTAATCTCTCGCCCAGAACTTTCCTTTAGTTTTAGACAGTAGTTTAGTTTGTATTTCACTAAAAAAACAAAGAAATCTCACCTGTATGTTTCCTTTTTTCTACAGTAAATGGGTTTGGGGCAGCAGAAGGCGGGCATTACTGATAGAGAGTGCTGATTGATTGACGAGCGGAGCAGCTCATTGGCTGTTCGCTCAATGACATCATGCATGTATATGAGGCACCGTTTTAAACTCCTATAACTCGAGTTTAAAGCTCTTAAAAATATAACAGCAGTGTTAAAATGTTTTATGCTGTTCTGTGTTCAGGAAATGATTGTATTATTTTACATTTAAAATGTTTCAGCATTTATAAACTATGATTTTGCTCAAATGCTCTATATCAACCCAAACATTTTGGACTTGCGCCGGAGCGCCCTCTTGTGTTCGAGAAACCCGGAAGACATCGCAGAGGGGTTTTTGTGTGTTATTGAGCCAAACGCTACAAATTACTTAAGAGATTTTAGTCAGATTTTACTGATAATTTCAAATATGTTTTTAAATCGGTAATTAGACCTTCAGTTTTGAGTATTTTGGTCTCTACTGAGTGAACAGACTTTCCTATAACAGCCATAAATGATATAATTAATAAAATAAAATGTGTAGTGTCTTGTCCATGCATTCAAGGCATAAAATAAATATCATAAAATAGATCATATGGAGCGGATGCGGAGCAGGGGTTTCTCTAAGGTGTGAACGAGGAACGGAAAAAATAGAAAACCCGGAGCGGAGCTGGAGCGATTACGGAAACGCCTTTGAGCGAGAAGCAGAAAAGTCTGTTTAAATTTATATTTATTATGTTTCCACTATGCTTCAAAACCATAATACTCAATTTGCTGAGCTTCACGTTGCTCCATCTGTTAAATTAAACTGCTGATACAACTTCAAATAACTCTGCTAGCATGCTAGTTAGCATGCTAAAGGCTAAACAGGTAACAACAACAAAAAGAACCAGCGCTGCACTTCCGGTTTCTCCCATTAAGCACTGGGACAGGGACCGAATACGTGAAGTGAGCCGGATGATATTTAATCCTGTCAAATACGCTGCTTTAGTGGACGAACTGCCCCTAAAACACTCTTTACTTTTCACTCTATTATCCATTAATTTTATTTGTTTACTTTATTCTGATAATATTTCGCACTTTCACTACATCCTGCTGCGTTTATTTTTATTTAATTTCAATAATAATTTACATTTCCCACTTTATTCCTTTTATTTTTACTTTTTTAGTTAATATTTATATTTTTTCCCACAACACATTATATCTAGAACCATATACAACATCAATTTTGAAGACCCATTTTCCCATTCTATAAGGAACTCAAGGTTCTTAACAGAACCGTCTCATGCTTGAATGATTCACTGCATGGTAAAAATGGTTCTTTTGAAAACGGTTCTACATACCACATCAAGAGAAAGGGCTCTTCTGTTACAAGCCTGGCATCGTAATGATAGAAGAACCCTTCTTGGTGCTACACAGAACCATTTTCCAAAAAAGGTTCTATATAGAACCATACACAACACACTATAAATCAATTGTAAAGTACCATTTTACCAAACAAAGAGCGATTTAAGCATGCGAAGGGTTCTATATAGAACTCACGGTTCTAAATTAAAGCAGTTCTTTGCATGGCGAAATGGTTCTACATAGCACATCACAAAAAAGGGTTCTTCTGTTACAAGCTTGACATTGTAATGATAGAAGAAACTTGTTATTGCTACATAGAACCATTAAAAAAAAGGTTCTATACAGAACCATATACAACACATTTTCCATCAATCTGAGGGACCGTTTCGCCATGCATAGAACCATTGATTCTATTTAGAACTCACTTCCTTTACTAAACCCTTTAAGAATCTCTGACCTATTAATTTAGGCTTGTTTACAGTGTAATATGAGATTAATATAATCATGTATTTATGAAGGTAATTAATTGTGTAATTCGGTCCAGTTGGGTCCGGCGCGGCCTTCGAGTGCTTCATTTTACTTCATTCATTTTTTTTTTTACTTTTTTAGTTAATATTTTTATATTTTTTCCACAGTATTTCACTTTTTTTCTCTGGACTTTTATTCTGTATCCTGGTTGCCGCCTCTGTCTGTGTGTCGCTCTCCGCTCTCTCCGCCAGAGGGCGCCGAGGCCGCGCGGGTGTGTTTGGGGCGCAGAAGAAGAGGCAGGGCTGACCGCTGTGATTGTTTTGGAAGTGGAGATGTTAAATGAGCTCATATTTGACCCACCTGAGACCCAAAATGACCTCGACCTGGACCTCAGAGAGGGAGGAGGAGTTCGTGGCCATGATGGAGGCGAAGCCGGAGCTGTTCGACACCACGGAGATGAATTTCAGCAATAAAACCGTGAAGATGAACGCGTGGCTGGAGATGGCCGAACACTTCGGCCTCAGCGGTAAACAGAGATTTCCCTGTTTTACTCGTCGTTTCGGAACCACAGAGCGCAGAGCAGCTTTAATTAACACCGGTCAGAGCTCTGCAGACCCTCGGACTGCAATGAAACACACACAGAGACTCTTATTATCCTCTAACGCCGTCCAGGCTTCGCCCAGTAAAACCACAACAACACAGAGAGCCTTTAAAAACCCACTGACCCCACAAAACACAGAGACTCTGACCATCCGGAACCTCTGACTGACACCTTTACCCCCTCAAAGCGGCACAGTGTCTCTGAAGAAACCAGTAGATTATCTATAAACCACTGCAGATGATCTAAAACACCAATTTCAGTAAAAAACCCGTACAGATCATATGAAAAAACTTTGCGGATCGGCTGGGAATCAGTACAGAACATCTAAGAACCAATAAGATCATGGACGATTAGAAACCAGTATAGATCATCCAAAAACCAATATAGATGATCTAGAAACCAGCATAGATTGTCTAAAAACCAATATAGATGATCTAGAAACCAGTATAAATCATCTAAAAACCAATATAGACAATCTAGAAACCGATATAGACGATCTAGAAACCAGTATAGATAATCTAAAAACCAATATAGACGATCTAGGAACCAGTAAAGATCATCTAAAAACCGATATAGATGATCTAGAAACCAGTACAGATAATCTAAAAACCAATATAGATCATCTAGAAACCAGTATAGATCATCGAAAAACCAATATAGATCATACAGAAATAAGTATAGATCCTCTCGAAATAAGTAAAAATAATAAAAAACCCTGATATAATCTAAAAGCCAATATACCCCTACAAACCAGTGCAGACCATCTAAAAAGCAACATAGATCCTCAACACACCAGTACAGATTATCTGAAAACTGATTTGACCCTCTGGAAACCAGTAGAGATCATCTAAAAGCAATATAGATCCTCAAGACACCAGTACAGGTCGTCTAAAAGGCAACATAGATCCTCTAGAAATCAATATAGATACTGTAGAAAGCAGTAGGTTATCTAAAAACTGATGTCGATTCTCTGGAAACCAGTACAGATCATCTAAAAACAACAGTGACCCTTGAGAAACCAGTACAGACCAAAACCTGCCCATATTAGTTTGTACAGTATGTGCAGAAAGCCACAGTGAGATTATAGTGGTACATGGTGTGACTGTGATATGACTTGTGGTATAAGTTTGTGCTGGTGAACCAGTAATGTGACGTGGTTAGACTGGTCATATTGGCCAATATAAACAATAACAAACAGTCAGACCCTCTTTATGTTCCTGTTCCTCCTGCAGAGAAGGAGCTGCGGAAGAAGTGGGACTCGCTGAGGACGCAGTACAGCAGATACACTAAGATGTACGCCGCCGGCGGGACGGAGGGGCGTCTGTGTACGGCGAGGCAGCAGTGGATCCTCCAGCGCCTCAAATTCCTCGACCCACACATAAAGAGGAGATCGTCCTACTGCGCCGATCTGGACTATGAGGTGCGGAGTTAGTTCACGGGGCCAGTTACAGTGAAAAGCTGAATACAGAGCTGTTGCTGTACGGCTCCATTTTCCAGCTCCACCTGCACTGAACACGTTCAGGTTTTTCTGCACAGGTCACATTATTACTAATAATCAGGTCATTTTGGAGCTGAATCAGTTTTGTAAGTGCAGGTAAACACAGACCTGCACTACAGTAGCACTGCTGTAAGGCAGGGCTTCCCAAGTCCACCTAGCACACCTGATTAACTAGTTAGAATTCAAGAGGAAGGTGAATCTCCAGGCTCAGCGTAGGAGACCACTGTTCTAGAGTATGCTGGAGTGTTCTTAGCTGACCTTCTTAAGTAAGAGTCACCATAGGATGGATAAATTGTCCCATTAACCACTTTAACTGTAAAGGTCTGTATGTGGCTTCACAACTCAATTGCTCATTTTCATAACTACAGAACTTACACGTTAGTTTCATAATATAAACTGAATAATGAATAAATTATAGTAGTTTTCAAGTAATTTATAAACACTGAATATTGAACCGTAGATACAAAATAATTCATCGTAGATGCTGAATAATGGATCAGACACAGCAGTGCTGCTGGAGTTTTTAAACACCTCAGTGTCACTGCTGGACTGAGAATAGTCCACCAACCAAAAATATCCAGCCAACAGCGTCCTGGTGTCCACCACCCAAATAGTACCTGCTCTGTGAGGGTCCATGGGGGGTCCTGACCACTGAAGAACAGGGTAAAAGGGGGCTAACAAAGTATCAGAGAAACAGATGGACTACAGTCTGTAACTGTAGAACTACAAAGTGCACCTATATAGTAAGTGGAGCTGATAAAATGGACAAGGAGGTGGTCAGAATGTTGTGCCCGATCGGTGTATGTTATGCAATATATAGACTTAAATGGAAATTCTGACAAGGTCTTTTAGCGTAATTCAGTGGTTGAGATTTAAACAGAGTCAGAGAGTTTTTATATGGAATGTCGTTGGTGGTTGGGGACTATTTTGCCTCACGTTGCCCTGTCTGTATCCCTCCACTGTGAATGGACTTTAAGAATCCGTGTTCTTTTCCTCCAGGTGACGGTGGTTGAGAACAGCTGTGATGAGTTGAGTCCGGCACAGGTCGACGTTGAGCTCGAGGCGGACAGCCTGAGCGGCGCGCAGCACCATCAGGCCACGCACTCTGACGGAGAGCTCAGTCTGGACACGTTTAAACCCCAGCTGGCCAAAAGGTCGTTTCAGGACGACGAAAGGGTCAGTTCAGACTCGCCTCACTCGCGGGGCAGCAAGCGGCACTGCACCGGCGGCGAGAAAATAAACATTCTGAATGTTCCACCTGCACACGCTGCCAGAGAGTTCGAGGATGACGAAGAGTTGGAATCTGCGAGTTTGCGGAGAGTGGTGTGCAGCACGGTGGAGGACAGGAAGAGGGAAGACTGCTGGGACGTCTTCGGCAGGTACGTGGTGTCCTGCCTTAAAAGCCTGGAGTCGTCGCGGAGCCGAATCAAGGCCCAGAACGAACTGTGTGCAATCTTACAGAAACACATACAGGGAGACGAAGAGCGGGAGACGGCAGACACGCAGGAACAGCAAGCAGCGCCCGCAGGCTGCGCAGGCAGCAGCACCGTCAAAGTCAGCACACGCCCATGCCCGCACTGCGAGCCTCCGGCTGACCAGGACGACCTGGAGCCCTTCCTGAAGTCCATGTCCATCATCATGAAGCGGCTGCCGGAGAGCGTCCGAGCGGAGGTGAAGTTCAGAATCCACGAGCTGGTGCACAGAGCGGAGATGAAACACCTTTATGAACAGACTAACGCGCAGAACACGACGACGCCCAGCCAGGAGTCCACCTGGGAGAACGGACTCAACTACAATCTCATTTAACGCCTCTCCTGTTTGGCCAGACTTCTTTTTGTACATATTTTTTAAAATAAATTATATATATATTTAGTAGAACGCTGTGTGTCGTGATGTCAGCGCTCAAACATCTCAGCCACCTTTAAAAACAGCCTCGTAAAGAAAACGCGATTCAGGCAAAACCTGCTCTTAATAATAAGGAAGATACTTGAACGTGAAGCTGAGCGACGAAGATTAATACATAAATATATAAGATCAGCTCAGAGCTGCTTTATCATAAACTAAACATTTGCAAGGTTTTTCTACACGAACTACATTCACACTTTATTAGAAACACCTATCTACTGCTTCCACAGACTGGCCACTTTATTAGAAACACCCACGTTTTGCTTCCACTCACTGGCCACTTTATTAGAAACATCCACATTGTGCTTCCACTCACTGGCCACTATATTAGAAACACCAACCTTGTGCTTCCACAACTGGCCACTTTATTAGAAACACCCACCTTGCGCTTCCACTCACTGGCCACTTTATTAGAAACACCAACCTTGTGCTTCCACTCACTGGCCACTTTATTAGAAACATCCACCTTGTGCTTCCACTCACTGGCCACTTTATTAGAAACGCCAACCTTGTGCTTAAACACACTGGCCACTTTATTAGGAACACCTAACCTTGTGCTTCTACCTTGCGGTTAAACACTGTAGCTCATCTGTAGTCCTTCATCAGTGGTCACTTGGAGAGTGCTGAGTTTAGGCACACTGGATGTAGTTCTATATTTTTGCCACAAGATGGAGACATTTGCACACTAATATGATAGAGAGCTACTGAAGCTGACAAGTGTTAGTATGCAATAATACAATAATAATAACCACACGACAGCATTTGCAGATCTTTTTTATTTTTACCTTCAGTAATTCAACACAAACTCTTATTCAGAGTGACTTAGAAAAAATGCATTTCACATCAAACCACTCTGATTTTTATTTATTTGTACAGTTTAACCATTTAATTATGCAGAAATTTGAAAAATCAGTGGAGTTCCCTTTTAACACCAGGCCTTTAGAGCCCTGTTAACACTGCACTTTACATGAACACTGTGATATCTCGTATTTCTTTGAATAAGCGGAACGTTTTTGTTCTCCTGCTGTTCAGATGAAGGAGATGAACGAGCCTGTGGTGTTAAATGGAGCTCCACCGCTGGGCTTAAGGAGATATTTGTGCAATAGACCATTAAAGACCTATAATTTATGACCAAAGGTGGCCATCACGTAGCGTAAATATGAGAAATAGTGATTTATTGTCTTCTTCTTTTTATTCTAATGAGCTTTTCAGCTCATCAGACTGTCCTAATGGCATCTGTTTCTGCAGGAGGCCTTAATCAGCCTCAGATTTACAGTGATAACCTACTGTTTAGTGCAATGCTGTCAGAGATGCTCCAGTAAAAGCATTGTTCTCAGGGTAAAAGTGAGTAGTTTGTAGAACTGCAGTGGAACATCTGCATCCAGCATCTCGCAGCACAGAAACCAGGAGGCTGAAACTGGCTTCTCATTTCAATTCTACGTTCCACCTTAAATGGGGTGCCAGAATGTAACTGCTGCACCATTTAAGGTGGAGCGGAGAATTAAAATGAGAGGGTGGCAAAGTTTTTTAGACTCTTTTCTTCTCCTTTTTGGATGCTTTTGGTCTAAAATCAAACGTTATAGCGCTTAGTATAGTATTAATACACAATATAGTGTAATATTAATACATAGTATTAACACAGAATCTCTCCTGCTCTTCAAACACGGCCCTCGTTTGAATTCGAGAGCAGATTTTATTCTGTATTTCCACCAAAACAGAGAGTGAATCTGCACTTATAATTCATAATCCTCAGTATTTATGATTTTCCATGTTTAATCCATTCACTTCAGCGGCTAAATTGAATATGAAAGGGCACAGAAAGAGTTCTGATTGCTTTAGTGTGACGAAACTGTGCGTAGTTATATTTCAGACAAACCTCTAACACTACATGAGTTTTTTTGGCCTCATGGTATTTTACTGCTTTTATTCACAGTCAGATGAGGCTTTTCTGTCGTTCTGCTAAAAGTCAATGAATGGATTTAAGCATAAAGTGCTAAAAACTCCTGTCCAGTTTGATTGATTTGAAATATTGCTTCAAATTTGTGTTCATAGCTCAGAGCTCTGGGCCAAAAGTTAAATTTCACATATAGACATTAATAGGACAACAGTGTGACTGACGAGGCCTAATTCTGTGAGTTTGCCCATTTAGTCGCTCTTTTTGTTAAATATTGGAAATAATGATTAAAGTTAAGCTGAACTCGTCAAATTACGTCACTGAAAAGACTCATTTCTTATAATCGTCCATTAAAATGTAATGACTTTAAGCCCCGCCTCTGAAACGTCTTCTTTTTTGTGATGATGTCACTGTGCACCAGTGGGTGGGGTCAAATGATATTAATAAATATTATCACCTTTCTCCTCTCCCAATCACCCCCAACCCCTCCCTCTCAACCTTTCAAGACTCCACCAAAATTTTCAAAGTTTGAGCATAAATACATGGTTAAGCTGTAAACAGAGTCATTCAGAGTGGTTTGGTGTGAAACGCTCTGTTCTAGATAAACTTACCGAGACAGAACTGTTCACAGTGGTGGTGATAGGAACCAGACGTCCACCTCTAACTTATTATTTCAGATTTTCCACTATTTTCCATCATCAACATTCCATATAGACTCAGAAGACTCGTGTAGGTTCACTGGTGGTTCTGGATAGTAAATAAAATGTCTATATTTGTGTTGTAGTCATGGCGACCCCTGGTTCTTATCACCACCACTGTAAAGACATCTGAACCATTTCACACCAAACCACTCTGAATCTCTCTGTTTACAATTTATGCAGAAATTTTGAAATATTGGTGGAATTGCCCTGTAAATGCTGATGCACCACAGACGGCTTGTTTGACACATTAGTGAACCACCAGTACCACCACTGCTGACTGTGTAGACAAGAGCGACACCACATTTTTTCCAGAAAATGAACATTTATTCAAAATAAATAAGCAATATAAAATACATAGAGCTCAATATCCGTCCACCTTCATCCTCAAAAATCTGAGCCTCACACTGATTTCCTCAGAACTTTCCACCAAAGGAAGCTCCTCAGGTTCCACTGCAGAAGCTACACACCACACCAGGGTCATAAATGGCGACATGTACAGATATTAAACCTGTTTATGGCTCTAATGTCCAGTTTTTACACTAAAGCTCTGGTCAGATGTTGATTTACAGTGTAAAATAATCATGTTGGGGTGTAAACATGCGCGGACGTTTCGTGATGCATCAGTCTGCAGGTGGCAACTCAACAGCACTGATTAATAAGTGTTAAAATCAATTATGATTCATATTCAGTAAAGTATGAACTTACAGTTCGGCCAAAATGAGACTTTTCAAACATATAAAATCCATAAACGTTTATTCTACACTTTGTGAATCTCCTCCGGTTACGTTTGCGCCAGGTAATAATTCTGAATCGTGCCAAATTTCGTGACGCATCGAATCGTTTCCTGTGGTTTTAAATACTACATTCAAATCTACATTTGGCCTTTATAGTGCATACATTCACTCGCCACTCAGTGACGTCATATCCTCCGTACATTATCTCACTCACTCTCATTTAAAATGATAAATTAACTTCTTTAAATGTGGTGAAAGTGTTTTTTTTTACATGTCTTGTCCAAAATATAATTAATAAATAACATTAATAAATAATATTGTCAGTAAAAGAGGGGAAACTATAAAATGGTCACATTCAAAGTGATGCTTTCAGATCCAAACTGGTTTAAATTTGTTGTAGGTCAGTTTTGCGTGAGCAGTTTTAGAGCCACAGTGATGGATTTCAGGCTAAAGTCGTATAACCTCCACTGAATGTTCTACCAGCGCGTGCGGAACAGGTCAGCGCTGTGTGTTCTTGGTTTTTGTTACTAAATAAAGCATAACGGACATGGTCGGTCATAAAGAGTGAGCAGTGAATGTAATTATAATGTGATTAAAATGTAATTATATCAGTTTAAACTGCAAGTCTGATACAGATTTATCTCCATTCTGGTTCTTTCAAATGCTTTTCATTTTAATTCTAAAATTTTATTCTGTTTTTCCCAAATTTTGTCGACAAAATCCTCTTCTGCTTCAGCTAACGGCAGGACTGAACAGTTCTCTGTGGAATATGTGGCATCTAAAGGGTTAATCTTCTGTAATAACTGTGTTAATAATATTCAGCAAACAAAAACAGCTTCGCAAGTCAAAGACTGTGAGTTTAAAACATACATTTTTTCAAATGGGAGACCACAGCAGGGGTCAGTACGAAGGGCAGTGAAACCTACGCACCATCATTCAATTCATAACCAACTGATATTTGAAAAATAATATACATATACAATATATATATATAATAGGTCATATCAATAATATTGTGTAATAGGCCGTTTGTGAAAGGTAGCATTAACATCACTGGTGTCATATACAGTAATAACAGACTGTTTACGTTCTTATACATATTTTACTCTCTGTAGGGTCTGTATTAAAGGGGAGCTCCACTGATTTTTCAAAATTTCTGCATAATGAAATGGTTAAGATGTTAACAGAGTCGTTCAGAGTGGTTTGGTGTGAAACGCTCTGTTCTAGAGAAACTTACAGTCAGAACTGTTCACAGTGGTGGTGATAGGAACCAGACGTCCACCTCTAAAAGCTCCCTCACAGACAGTTATTGTAAAGTTATGCCTGATGTCTGAGATGCTGTTTTATGACAGTTTTGAGAAGATTTTGGTCTTAAAATCCATTCACACGCAGAAAACCTGGTTCCTATCACCACCACTGTAAAGAAATCTGAATCATTTCACACCAAACTACTCTGAATCACTCTGATTTACATCTCACACACTGAATTATGCTGAAATTTTAAAAATTGGTGAAGCTCCCCTGTGCATATTCACCAACAGATCATTGTCATTCATACAAATCTCTCATGCCTTGAATGCAGCTCTCTGGCGCCCTCTGCTGAGGCTGCAGTAAAGCTTTGAGAAGCGAGTGCTTTGGTTTGCCCATCTAAAGTTTGGGGACACCTGCCTTCCAGAGGAACGTTTGTTTTTCACTGTTACTTTTTAATGAAGTAAGAAAAAATCCTTGTGAAGCTTTAGATGATCATATTCAGCTCTGTGCTGATGCTTTGTGTGTATTTATCTTCTCAAACTTAGAAGAGTCTTCCTTGGTATGACGAGCAGCTTTGGCCTAAATAGTGATCTGACAGTTTTCTTTTTTTTGGGGGGGATTTTTTTCCATTTAGTTGTATCCAGTTCCACCCACTAGTTAGATTTCCCCCAATCACATGAACCCACCAGTTCTAGAAGGTTGAAGGCAAACAACCTGAAAGGGTGGTTCTGGATAGTAAATAAAATGTCTATATTTGTGTTGTAGTCATGGTGACGCCTGGTTCCTATCACCACCACTGTAAAGACATCCAAGTCTCTAAGTTTCTCTGCAATGACCAGTGGTGGACAGTAAATAAGTAAATGTAATTCATTACTGTACTTAAGTAGTTTTTTGTGTATCTGTACTTTACTGAAGTTTTTCCATTTTGGGCGACTTTTTACTTTCACTCCACTACATTTCAAAGTCACATATCTGACTTTTCACTCCACTACATTATGAGAAATCTGTCGTTCCTTTTGGTTTATGTGTGCATAAAAACATAACATGTCAAAACGAAAGAAGCGCAAAGCCAGAACACCAATCAGGGCACAGCGGTCACTTTGTTTTGAGCTTGTTTTGACCTGTTGGTCATACAGACCCAGTGCAGCACACGGTTCAACGTCAGTGCAGCAGCGTAAAATTTAGTTCAACATAAATGATGAACTAACCTAACTTTGTGTAAATAGACCACAATATAGAAATATGTACTCATATGCAGTTGTGACTGACGTGTCTTTTTTCTGAATTTATACAAACATTTCGTTTTATAGTAAATTAGTTAAGGCTAGTTTATGTTTATGAACAGAGACCTACAGATGCAGTTTAGTAAAGGAAACTCATTTGTGAATCTGAGTTTAAAGTTTTTATTAAACTTAAATTTGTAACTAAGTTAAATAAATCTTAAACTGAAACTTTGCTTGTTTGTAAAAAGTGATTTCAGAGCCACTCAGTTCTACCGGATGGAAACTGTTTGCCTTCAGTGTTTTGTGCTTATGATCATTTTAATAGACATCAGCGTCACTAATTAATGACCTTCTATTAAAAGACTGGTTTACCAAGAGAGACACTGGAGTATCACCTAAAATGAGTTAATGAAGCGAGTCTTGTTATAAAAATGATAACAGGACATTAAAGCCATAATTAATCTTTTAGTACTTTTACTTTCGATACTTAAGTACATTTGAAGGCAAATACTTTTGTACTTTCACTCAAGTGGAGGTCTAAAGGGAGGAACTTCTACTTTTACTGGAGTAATATTTTACCTTGGGTGTCTCTACTTTAACTCAAGTACATGGTTTGTGTTCTTCGTCCACCACTGATAATGACCTACTCCACACCAAAGCACTCTGAATGACTGTGTTTACATCTCAAAGTTGTTCAAAATTGGTGAAATTCCCCTTTAAACGTGTGATTTTGTTACATAGGGAAAATTATTGTAAACTGAGGAAAGAAAACACTTCTGTAAAACCAGGTGTCCCCAAACTTTTGACAGGCAGTCCAGCATTGTCCTCTGACTCTTGCGCTCATTTAGCTTAGTTAGCCGCTTGCGTGAAATCCCTCATATTTGAGTGGCTACGATTTCATTGCAGCGTAGCTCCGGACTGTGGGCGTCCACGTCCAGTTCTGTCCTGCTGTCCATCTCGGCGGTCAGTTCTCTGAGGATTTTCTCCAAGTCCTGGTTCTTCCTGTGCATCTGCAGGTAGTTATACTGCAGCTGCTTCTGGTACCGGATCACTTTGTCCTTCTCCTTGTTCCACGTGTGTCTCTCCTGCTGGAAGCTGCTCACCAGCTTGCTTTTCTTCTCCTTCTCCTCCCTCAGCTGTCCTCTCAGCCTCTCCACCTCCTTCTGGAGGGCGTCCATGTCTATGGACCTCTCCCTGACCTCTCCTGACCTTTCCTTCGCTCCGAACACCTCCATCTTGGCCTGCCGGATCTGTAGCTGCAGCCGCTGCTCCTCCAGTTTAGCCCTCAGGCTCAGTAGCTGGACCTGCTCTTCTTTAGCCACGGCCAGCTCCTGCTTCATGCCCTTAATGTCCGTCTCCAGCCTGCCCACCTTCTCTCTCAGCAGGTCGGCCTCGTTCTTCTTCCTCTGCAGCTCGTTCTGACACACCTTGAAGGAGGGTCACACAGAGAGTGACCGTTATTAGCTGATAAAGCTCAGATGTACAGTTCTTATTTTTACTCTTTCTTACTCTTTTTGGACTGTAAAGCTAATTTTGCACACTTTTGTGCTGTAAGGCTATAATCAGACACAGACTGACCGTTACTAGCCACTAAAGCTCTGTTTTACAGTCTTTATTTTTACTGTAGGGCTAACTTTTTGCACATTTGGTGTAACATTAACTTTTGCACACTTTTTTTGGCTGTAAAGCTAATTTTTTTGCAGACTTTTGTACTGTAAGATTAAGATCAGACACAGAGTGACCGCTGTTAGCCACTAAAGCTCTGTTGTACAGTCTTATTTTTATGTAAGGGTAGTTTGTGTGTACTTTTTGTAAAGTAATGCAATTTTTTCACACTTCTTGTACTGTAAAGCTATTTTTTTTACATATATTTGTACTGTAAAGCTAAGACCAGACACAGAGTGATGGCTATTAGCTGCTAAAGCTGTGCTGTACAGTCTTTATTTTTACTGTAAAGCTACCTTTGCAGGCTTTTTGACAGTAAAGATAATTTCTGCACACTTTAGTTATTTTTACTTTAAGGCTAACTTTTACACACATTTTGTACAGTCTAATTTTTGCATTTTTTTTACTGTCAAGCAATTTTTTTCGCACTTTTTGTACTGCAAAGCTAAGTTTTACACCCTTCATACTCTGAAAGGTTAAGATTAGACACAGAGTGACCGCTAGTAGCTGCTAAAGCTCTTTATTTTTGTCTTTGTTTTTACCATAGGGCTAACTTTTGCACACATTTTCTACTGTAAGGCTACGTTTTGCACACTTTTTGTGGTGTAGGGTTAACTTTTGCATACTCCTTTGGGCTGTACACCTAATTAGAGTGATCGCTGTTTAGCCACTAAAGCTCTGTTGAACAGTCTTATTTTTTACTCTAAGGGTAATTTGTGTGTACTTTTTGTAATGTAATGCTATTTTTCACACGTTTTGTACTGTAAGGTTGTTCTTTACATATTTTTGTACTGTAAGGCAAAGATCAGACACAGAGTGATGGCAATTAACTGCTAAAGCTCTGTTTTACAGTTATTCATTTTACTGTAACATCAGCATTTGCTCACTTATTGTTGTATAAGGCTGCCTTTTAGACAGTTTTGTGCCACTGCAATACTTTATGTGAATTGCAAATATTAAAAATATTTCTAATGACAATAAACTTTAAATGAAATCCATAATATCCATTTAAATGATATATATAAAACACATTCAGGAATGTAAGGCTGCTTTGAACAACAACCAAACCCACTGACAGACACTAGAGGGCACTGAAAACTCAATTTTGCTTTAAGACAGAACGTTATGTGTGTGTGGTGCAAACAGCGCACTTTACATTTACTCTTGTTTGAGGGTTTATATTACACACATATGACAATATATTCGACTACTGATATTTGGCAGTCAAATCGGTTATTTCAAATTACTTGTACTATGAAAACAGCTTATAAACTTTACAGCTGTCATTTTATAAACTGGTCAGTTGGTCCAGTTTTGGGGTGTGGGCTTGTGGAATTGATTATATTTTGAAAATGTGCGAGTTTATTAGTAATTCAAGGCATTTGTATCGTGCTAAAATGCGAAAGAAATCAGTGTGTGGGTGATGGAGAAAGTCTGGAGTGCACACACACCTCCAGCTCGGTGCTGCGTGTGTGCAGAGCCTCCTCACAGTCCCGGTTCTTCTGCTCCAGCTCCTCCAGCCTGCTCCCCGCATCTCTCAGAGAGGCCTTCAGACTCACTATCTCACTCAGCTTAGTCACCACGTCAGCCTGAGTGTCCTTCAGCTGCTGCTTCAGCAGAGAGATCTCACCTGTCTTCTGACACACCTGTGAGGATCATATGAGCATCATAGAGCTTTTTAAATGAAACAGTAGAAGCCATATCGCCCCCTACACTTCCTGTAGCGTATTACAGTCTGTCAGAGTGACTGTGTGGATCATATGAACATTATAGAGGCTTTTTAAATGAAACAGTAGAAGCCATATCGCCCCCTACACTTCCTGTAGCGTATTACAGTCTGTCAGAGTGACTGTGTGGATCATATGAACATTATAGAGGCTTTTTAAATGAAACAGTAGAAGCCATATCGCCCCCTACACTTCCTGTAGTGTATTACAGTCTGTCAGAGTGACTGTGCAGATCATAAGAATGGTATAGATCTCATAAGCATTCCAAGTTCAGCATCGTGGCGCCTGCAGTCTCACCTCCCACTGCGTCTCCTCCAGTGTTGGTGCTAATTGCGTCTGCTGGCTCCTGTAGCTCCTCAGCTGGTTTTCGGCTGCCTCTCTTTCCTGAGTTAGCTGGTACACTTCCTCCTGCAAGCGCTCCTTATCCTGCTGGAGCTGAATCACCTGCAGCTGGAGGAGCTGCTGCGCCCGCAAAGCACGCTGAGATACCTGCAGGGAGAGGATGTACCACTTTCAGCTTTACATGATTAGAGGGAATGCTAAACAAGCTTGCAGGTGTCCTATGAAGCCAGTTCCTTTTATGTTCAAAGAGATAGGCCAGTCAGTCAGCCAAGACATGATTGGTTTGCTTCTTTGGTTTAGCACTGGAGCTACAAGGCTAATGAACCTAACAGGTTATGGAAGCTCCACTAATTAACATGGTGCTAACTGCAAGTCTAAATCATCACACATTTGTCATCTGGAGGTGTTCAGTATCTCTGATAGTCTTGATTCTGTGGTTTCTGACACTGCATGACTCACTGTTGTCTATAAACATGGACTAAAGTACATTAGCAGAGCTAAAAGCAGCATAGTATGCAACTCTCTGTGCAAAAGTCAGAGACCACCTTTCATTTATTTCATTTCCAGCCAAAACAGCCATTAAGTACATTATTCATTCTCCAAAGTTCAGTCTTAGAAGCTGGTTGATGATTTTCTGAAGTAATCAAACACATTCAGTGGTGTTGAGGTCTGGACTCTGGGGTGGTCAGTCCATCGTTCAGCTTCTTTGTTTGATGTGTCCGTCTCCTTTTCTCAGTGAGGTTCTTCTTGACAGCTACACATCCTTTCAGACTCACAGCGCTGAGTCGTCTTCTCACAGTGGAAGGATGGACAGAAACACCTGTGGATGTTTTCAGATCTGGAGCAGCTTGATTTTCTCCTCTCTCTCAGAGATGAAAGCTTTAAGTGCTGTTTATCTGATGGGGGCAGTTTTGGGGTCGACCAGGTCTTCCAGGTGGTTGTTAGGAGCCCCATTTTCTCTGTAGATTTTAACCAGTTTTCCAGTTTTGGAAACTCCTGTTTTTTCCACTTTCTCCTTCCTTATGCAGGTGGAATATCTCAAATCTCAAAAATATCTCCTGAAAAATGAATAAGTTGTTCTTAATGGCTGTTTTGACTGGAAATGAAATAAATGAAGGGTGGACTTTGCACAGCACCGTGTGTATAATGCGTAAAATAGATTTTTGGCCGTTGTAAAGCTGACTCAGATGTGAGTGTCTGACCTGTCGGAGTTTGGTGGAGCAGCGCTGTTTCAGGCCAGCCATCTCCTCCGCACAGTAGCGCTGTTTCTCTTCAAAAAGCTGGCAGGTGTCTGACTCCTTCTCCTCAAAACACGACTGCAGCTCCGCCAGCTCTGACTCGCGCTCCAGAAGCTTTTTCTCCAGCTGCTGGATCAGAGATTCATCCGTGGTGATCGGAGAACGGACGCCACCGCCATTAGATTTGGTGGGGCTTGGATCTAGGGTCACTTCTGGGTCAACCGGAGTGACCTCCATGTTTAAACTCACCGGTCCAGTTAGATCGTCACTCAACACACCAATAGATCTGGTGCTGGGCTTTGCAGGACCGCTATCTCCATTAACACCACCACTGCCATTGGCCCAGTTATGCCCATTGACCGCATTACCTCCACTGTCCGCCCAGCTGGATCCAGAGTTCCCATTTACCAAGCCTGAGTTTGGCGAGGAGCCTCCATAACGCAGCAGATGACCAGTAGATGTGCTTAGATGTTCCGTCTGGCTGCTGCCGCTGGTGCTGTGGGTTGGAAGACTGGACATGGAGTTCCTGCCTGAGTCGGAAAGAGTTCCTGAGCTGTTCTCCTGTTTTGGGTCCTGTGCGTCTTTGGGCCGGTCGATGGGGCTGATCCTCGACCCCAGGATGGTGCTCAGGTTGTTGTGGGTCTCCACTGAGGAGCTGCTGCTGCGGGGTAAAACTGGCTTGAAGGCTGTGGGACGGATCAAGGACTTTTCTGCACCCTGAGTAAAAGAGGAAAACAAGTCAGACTAAGGCGAGAAACCTTTACTTAGTACCTACATAACTGACCAATCCATGTTCTGTTCACAAATCTTGTTCAGCTAATGAGAAACTGTAGAACAGACTCAGTTTATATCACAATACCTACATTTAGAGTCGGTTATTCATTCAGCCTAATGAGAAACTGTAGAACAGACTCAGTTTATATCACAATACCTACATTTAGAGTCGGTTATTCATTCAGCCTAATGAGAAACTGTAGAACAGACTCGGTTTATATCACAATACCTACATTTAGAGTCAGTTATTCATTCAGCCTAATGAGAAACTGTAGAACAGACTCGGTTTATATCACAATACCTACATTTAGAGTCGGTTATTCATTCAGCCTAATGAGAAACTGTAGATCAGACTCCACATAGATCCATACACAACATATTTTCCATCAATCTAAAGAATGATTCAAGCATGCAAATGGTTCTTTGAATGATCATTGTTCTATAAAGAACCGTTGTCCTTACTATAGAACCCTTAAACATCATCTTTTTTAACAGTGTAGAAGAACGCTTTTTGGTGCTGTACAGAACCACTTTCAAAAAGGGTTCTTCTATTGTTATAAGCCTAACATTGTAACAATAGAAGAACTTTATTTGGTGCTTTTTAGAACCTTTTACAAAAGGTTCCATGTAGAACCATATGTAACACATTCTCCATCAATCTGAAAAACCATTTCACCATGCTTAGAATCATTTAAGCATGAAAATGGTTCTTTGAGTGATCATTGTTCTATATAGAACCATTGTCTTTATTAAAGAACCCTGGACAGAATGTCTTTTTAAGAGTGTAGAAGAACCCTTTTGGTGCTATATAGGACTACTTTAAAAAGGCTCTATGTAGAACCACATACAACACATTCTCCATCAATCTGAAGAACCATTCAAGCATGCAAATGGTTCTTTTAATCATCATTGTTTTAGATAGAACCATTGTCTTTACCAAAGAGCCCTTGACAAACATATTTTTAAGAGTGTATAAGAACACTTTTGCTGTTATAGAGAACCCTTTACAAAAAGGTTCCAAAAAGATCCATATATAACACATTCTCCATAAATCTGAAGAACCATTTCACCATGCAAAGAACGATTTAAGCATGAAAATGAGTCTTTGAGTGATCATTGTTCTATATAGAACCATTGTCTTTACCAAAGAACCCTTCAAAACCATCTTTTTTTAAAGGTGTAGAAGAACCCTTTTTGGTGCTGTATAGAACCACTTTCAAAAAGGTTCTACATAGAACCATGTATAATGCATTTTCTATCCCTCTGAAGAACCATCTCACCATGAAAAAGAACCGATTAAGCATGCAATTGGTTCTTTGAGTGATGATTGTGTATATATATATATATATATGTATATAAAACATGTTTTTTAAGAGTGTAGAAGAACCCTTAATGGTGCTATATAGATGCAACGTTGACATTGTAACAATAGAAGAACCCTTTTGGGTGTTATATAGAACCCTTTTCAAAAAGGTTCCATATAGAACCATATACAACACACTCTCTGTCAATCTGAAGAACCATTTCAACATGCAGAGATCCATTTAAGCATGAAATGATCCTCTTTAGAACTCATGGTTCTAAATAGAACCATTCCCCTGACTAAAGAACCCTTGAAGAGCCGTGTTTTTTTCAGAGTGTACTCAACCTTTGTTGACTGTAACTTTGTCCTAAATTCAGGCTGTTTTCCGCTCCGTTGGCTGTTTTTAGCCATGCTGCGTTCTTTCGTTCACTTTTTAGTGACATTAACCTACATTAGCAGAACCTGAGGATGATTGGTTATCCCACGTCCCTCCCTCTCTCCCTCTCTCCATTGCTCTTCTCCTCTGCCTCCCTCTCTGCCTCTCTCCATTGCTCTTCTCCTCTGCCTCCCTCTCTCCCTCTCTCCATCGCTCTTCTCCTCTGCCTCCTCTCTCTCTCCTCCACCTGCTCTGCTGTGTCTGGGAGGAGATCGATGTCTCCTCTCTGATATTCATGTTAGCCTCGTTTCGCTGACTCAGCGCTCCGGCGCTGTGACTCCATGCCTGAGGAATTCGGGTCTTTCCTCTCAGCCCGGCGTTTGATAACGGGAGCTATTGAGAGAGAGGAGTTCCGCAGCACCACTGGAGCGAATCTCTCAGAGATCAAGGCATTCTTACCCCGTCAGTCTGGAGCCTTAATTAAACAGACCAGACGCCACTAAGCTCTTAGCTGAAGTGTCAGAGGCCGCAGGAGATTACCGGACTTCACTGGACTGAGGGTGGAGCAGTGATGGACGCTGTTTTATGTGTTCTACTCTTTTACTATAACTGTTTACTGTTTACTGTGTTACCCTAGCAAAGGAGTAGTTTACCAGTGCCCTGCACTCTGTCCAGCTCTGCTGTCATTTCTACCCACTGTATTTGAATACCCCCCCCCCGTAGATTATCTACACATATTCAAATTATTAACAAATTATCTGGTGAACCTCAGTTAATTATCAACTGCCTTAGTGTTCAGATTAGGATTGGCCTTTGGGTTGAGTTTGAGGTCACGGTTTGGGAAAAGCTGAGATGAATTTTCCACCCTCGATTAGAATAAAACAGGCTGTTTTTGTTGCTGCACCTGTTTAATTCTGATATATGTAAATGATCTCTGCTCTGATTGGCTGTCCCACATTTCAGGCTGACATGTAGAACAGTCTAAGGCACTGGAACCTCAAGGCTTTGGAAAAAATACATTTCAGGCTCTTTTGGATGTGTAGATACTCCATTTACTTCCTGACAGACAGAAACAGCACAACAACTCTGATACGGACTGCCTGCAGGAACAACACTCCACATCACTTCAATCAGAATGGGTGGGGATAAACTGGTGTAGGCTGAGTGGGCGGGGCAAAACTGCTGTAGACTAAATAGGCAGGGCTAGACTGCTGTAGCCTAAATGGGCGGGGCTAAACTGCTGTAGGCTGAATGGGTGGGTCTAAACTGGTAAAGGCTGAATGGGCGGGGCAAAACTGCTGTAGACTAAATAGGCAGGGCTAGCCTGCTGTAGCCTAAATGGGCGGGGCTAAACGGCTGTAGGCTGAATGGGTGGGTCTAAACTGCTGTAAGCTGAATGGGTGGGGTTAAAGTGCTGTAGGCTGAATAGGCAGGGCTAAACCGCTGTAGGCTGATTGGGCGGGGCTAAGCTACTGCAGGCTGATTGGGCGTGGCTAAACTGCTGTAGGCTGAATGGGCGGGACTAAACTGGTGTAGGTTTCATGGGCGGGGCAAAACTGCTGTAGACTAAATAGGCAGGGCTAGACTGCTCTAGCCTAAATGGGCGGGACTAAACTGCTGTAGGCTGAATGGGCGGGGCTAACTGCTGTAGGCTGAATAGGCAGGGCTAAACTGCTGTAGGCTGAATGGGCGGGGCTAAATGGATGTAGGCTGAATGGGCGGAGCTAACATGATGTAGGCTGAATGGGCGGGGCCAACATGATGTAGGCTGAATGGGCGTGGCTAAACTGCTGTAGGCTGAATGGGCGGGGCTAAACTTTAATAGATACTGATTCAGTCAGTTCTGTGTCGTACCTTCTCCAGTTCCGGCGTTGCTCCTCTTTTCGGGTCGGGTTCAGCCGCTCTGGGTTTGTGGCTCACCTTGATGTAGAAGAAGTCTTCGCTCTTGCCGGACCTGTAGCCGGTCTTTGAGTTGTTGTTGGAGGCAGTGTGGTCAGCGAAGCCATGCTTGAGCAGGCCGTCCAGGCTCCGGCCGGCCTTCCTGCAGTTCTTCTTCAGCCTGGGCTCTGAAGCCCTGCAGTGTTTAGTGTGGAGGCTGTGGCCCGATATCAGACTGCTGACACTACCCATAATTCCTGGGGCATCTGGAGAAGGCAGGTGGGCGTCGTGGTCTTAGCAGCAGCAGCTGAGTACATACAGGACGGCTTGATTGATGAGGCGGATTCAGATGGACTCATAGCATTGTGTGCCGGTTCTCCTCACTTCTGAGTGAAAAC